AACTTTTCACAAAACATAAATCCTGAAAAATTATAATATGTATATGTAATATATATAAATATGTATATTGTTTACATTTGTACCATGAGGCACAGGGTTGCTTTAAAGCTAAATGCTCATTGCTTGCAATGCAAAGTGCCCATTAAAAATATTTACCATCTTAGTTTAGTATATTTGAATAGTAACAGCTTATTAGCATTAAACATAAAGTACAGCTGAGGCTGATAGACACATTATTAGTTTTGCAGGTACATAAACGTAAGTATTGGAAAAAATGTTTTGACCTGATGATGGTGCTAGATGAAAAGTTAATGGTTCACCAAAGTTATTACAATTCATCAATCATAAATATCTGAACCGAATTTCATGACAAACAAATTCGTTGTTGAGACAGTTCACTCAAAACTACAAAAGTTAGTGTAGAAAAGGGTAGAGAGTTTCCTAGAAGTTGGTAGCAAATGTTACTCAAACAGAAATAGTGCATTTGTTGAGGGCTATTATCTGCTGTGGATTAATCTAATATGGGCACCAGTACATTGTCTGTGGGATTGAATCTAAATGAACTTCAGTGGCCATGTTCATGGTAATGAGGCAACATGTCTTGAATTTCCCTCGGGATAAATAAAGTATCTATCTATCATCATGTCACCCAGTGCAACACTGTGGCTCATTGATGTGTTTTTAATAGTTTGTGGACAAAAATTGAGCTCTGTGGCACAGAGGAATAAGATATACCAAGCTTCGCTTGTAAGCAGGATAAAGTCATTGCATTTTGGTCTTTTTATTGGACATACAATGAGAAACATAGAATTTTCCCAGACTTTTCCTTTGAGCCTATCCTGGACCAAAACAGAAATGGTTTGGGTAAATAATGGATGGACAGACAGATGGACCAGATTTAGATTTCACATGCCAGCATTGTCAGTGACCACTTGTGGTGTATTTTTCAGTGAGTGAAGAGACAGCAAGAGTTGCATCAGCAGGTTGGAAAGTGGTGAACTCGTGTACAGGTGTTTCTAAAGCAGCAATGTTCTGCCGTGTTCTAATTTTAAACTGAATGAAGGAGGCGTGGGGGCCATGCACATCATCTCTTTCCGGCTGTAATCTCAGACTTTTTCTGAACACTTACAAGACAACACAATCCACCATTATCACCACCTTCCCTTTTTCACTCTCGAAGTGTTCGTCTTCCCACCTCTTACCTTGATCCCTTCCCTCTCTATAGATTGCCTATAGGAAAATCTGTTTGATTAATGTATTACTGAAATCAGGCCAACTTAATATGTTTGATCGAGGAGTGGTTGCAAGATGCACACATGGTGGAGGATAAAGATAGGATGAGAAGAGGAGGAGGAGTAGGAGGAGGGAGGCAAGATGAAGGGATTATATTTCTTGGGTGAAGTTCTACTCAGGTCGCCAGGGACGAGAACAGGTGATTATGAGAAACGGTTTGATTTGAAGCCACACATGGCTGTCTTGGGGACATGAATGCTTTAATACCATTTTGAGAGTTTATTTTTGAGGTGCTTGCTTACTGCATGTGGTAGGAATTCCATGGAAAATACTTTAAATGCATTTTAATTTGGAGTCCCATGCTCTTGTGGGCCCCTTGACTCATGCTACATGAATATAACATCAAGACATTAAATCCTGAATTGAACATATTTCTAATGATGAAGCCAGTCCGGTTCAGCTACATGTTTGATATGTGATCAGACTCCTCAACTCACGTCCTGAGGGCTTGGCAGTGCGCAGAAATCCTCCGCAAGAGTTTCCAGCCAGGATTTACCACGGGGGTTAAGTTATCTGCACAAATCATTCCTTTTTTCATTTGCAGAAACAGTCCTGCAGACATGATTTACAAGTACAGTAGCTGCAGACATGAAATCCAAGGGCAACACAGGGCTACAAATCACACCGGCTTTGCCTCTCTATTTACGACAACCTATTGGTGTCATAGAAAGGGACATATTCTAAATCTGAAGGTACAAATTACAACATTTTTCTGCTGTAATGAGGTATTTAGTTTCATCTGTGTCATGGTTAACGGGAACTAGGACAGTGTGTCACATCCCCCAGAGAAACAGAGAGACAAAAATCCTCTCACTGTGCTGTAAGCATGATCCAGCACCAACTAAGCACCTGCTCCCCTCTTGACATTGCTCTATCTTGTCATTTTTCTGGGTAAACTTCGTTATTTTAGTCAAAACTGTGTACCAGCAGTCGCTCGTGGTGAACTGTCTAAGCGGAGGTCTTTACATCTTTTTTTATTTTTTAATATTTTTTTGGCTTTTATTTGATAGGACAGCTGAAGACAGACAGGAAAGGGTGGCAGAGAGAAAGAGGGGATGACACGCAGCAAAGGGCCACAGGTCGGATTCGAACCCTGGGCCGTTGCAGCAAGGACTCAGCCTCTGTACATGGGTCGCCAGCTCTACAAACTGAGCTAACCGGGCACCCAGTCTTTACATCTTTTATCATTCGTGCCAGGGATCAGGGGTGTATAAAAATGCAGTTTAACTCAGGAGTTTGAGTAGTTTGAAGCAGGTGCGCAAGAATACACACAAAAAAGCAACTGCCTACAGAATAGTGTAACTAATTCATATTTATGATTCATTTTGTATTATTTTCATGCCTTTGTTACCCATATCAGTGTCACACTTTTCACTATTAATGCATATGATTATACAGAATAGAGGTTTTTAATTAGGTTCAGCTGTGAGGCTGTTTTTCATTCAGGCAGCCAACATAATTTTCACAGCTGTGGTGGAGACAAAGGCCAGATTTTGAACTTTCTTGTATTTATTAGGGAATAAAATGGACTTTAATCCACCTGTTGACCTGTGTAATATACCAAACTAGAAATAGCTGCTCCAGCATACCTTGACTTAAAAGTTTTAACAGATGAAGAAGGATTGGATATTGACTATTTGATTGATTTATAAGGCCCACCATTAGGCTGGGTTTCAGCCAAAGACGGCTCCTTTTGATAAAAGAAATCTCTCAAAGACATACAAATGAAAGGTAGATAATGAAAATGTCATTTCAGCACCAGTAGCTGTCCATAGTCTGATCTATTACTGTAAATAGCCTAATGCATGGCACAGAACCTGAGCACAATATCCCCTTTCATGACTCTCTCTTTATGAGTGGTATTGATTATTAAATGGATATATATCAGGTCATTTTATGTACAGTCCCAAACATGGTTGAAACAGGGTATTGTGGAGGTGTGGGGTCAACCTTCACTGCATCCATGTTTCCTTCCTCTGCTGTGTCAGAGCTCGGATGGTCCTTTTCTGAAGTGCTGCTCTTGTGCCTGATGCTAGTTCTGACCAGCCGGTCATTGCTTTGCTGCCACAGATTTTCACAAATCACTGCCACGCCACGTCTCCAACAGCACTGAGGAATGGGGACAGAAAATCAATGGGCTCTCATGGGCTACTCCATCAGTCCAAATATCTGGAGCTTGATGGCGAAGAAAAACAGGGGGTGGGGAGGATTTGCAGGATGGAGAGAGCGAGCGATGGAAGCAGGTTTTAGGACCATGCAGGGTCAAGAGGCTGGATGGGCAAGCTGGTTTGTTTTAAGATAGGAGTGTGCGGTGGTTGTAAGCAAGACCAGTAAGAAAGAAAGAAAGAAAGATAGAGAGAGACTTGACACCAGTGCCAATATCATACCTGAGTTTTGTTACGAATACCAAACAGATAAATTTTTCAAGACGTTAGCACAGAGGCACTGTGAGGATGTATGATATCATCATATATATCATTATATGTTTCTTGCGAATAAAACATCCATAGATTTGCTTAAAAATCGTAGAGAAAAGATGCTCCTCATAGCTCCAGAACTTTCCTGACAAACATCACTTTTTTAAGTTCTCTTCGGTAATAAAGAAGTATAAATACTTCAATAGAGAATGGAGTGTAAATCGGATGAGTAAAGAAAGATAATTTTTCCCAATTCCATACAGTATACAAGCAGTAATTGTCTTAGTATATAGTTTTTGCAGCAGTAACATGTTGTACTAACGGGAAATTATGCATTACGTGTACAGAGCAATCAATCAAACTGCCGAGTTGAAATGCCACTGCCACTTAAAGTGGACTAAAAAGTTTTTTTTAATCTAATATCTAATACAAATTTTCCAAGATCTTCGTTGAGCTGTCTCTTCACCATCCACAATCTGTTTTAATGTTTTAAAGCCATGAAGAGCTCCACCTTCTTTCAGTGTATCGCACTGTGGGACAATAGTGCACATCGACAGCACACGGAAATATCTTTGTAGCATATTGACTAGCTTTCCAGTTTGAATGCACTATATACTTACAACCTGCTTAGAATTACTAATATAGTATGAGACTGGGACACAGCCTAGGAATCTGACCAGGCATTTGATCCCAACTTTCCTTACCTGACAGTTGTTAAGTATAAGAGGAGGTTGAAATGAGACAACTGATCAAGTCTGAGGAAGGAAAAAAAAAAGAAGTAAAATTGAAGCCGACAGAAAAACAGATTGAGTAAGTGCGTCATAATGAAAAGGATCGAGAGCAGGAGGGAACGTGGACAAGCCTGATAAGCAAGCGACTCAGAAATACGCAAGTGTTTTGGATTGAGTCTAACAAATTCTTTTAAATAAGAGCAGCGGCTCATGAAAGTGATATCATATGGAAATGTCTCCACCAAACCATTTAACATTCACCACTAGAACTGACTGTAGATATGATTGCCTCAGGTTGGAGGCAGTGCATGCAAATGTTATGTTAAATGTGAAGTGCCGCCATCCACGTCGTGAGTTATTTCCTCCAATTTTTCTCATTCTGCTCTTTGATTTCACACCTTGCTCGGGTTTCGTTGATAGGGTTTTAAACAATAAACCTTCCTCATATAGCTACAAGTACTATGATGATGAATTATTCCAGGTGCTCCTACCTCAGTGGCTGAAACAAAGGTTAACGGGTAAATAACATCTTCTTTGTCATTTTCTCTCTCTGTTTCAGTGGTGGACAGCAAGGTGATCCTGGAGGGCCTTCAGAGGTACGGCCCCACACCAATCTATCTGCCTGTCAGCTACCGGATCCTCAATGCTGAGTCGGCGTTCTTTCTCCAGGAGGCAAATCAGGACTTAATGAGGAACTCCAGCCTGCAGGCTCGTACGGAGTCTTTCTTCGTCCACCAGGCCCGGCAGATGCCCTTTGTCAATGCTAGCTATGGCCCGCTGTCTGTCCAGCAGCCTGTCCCTCTGGAGCTGCTGCAGACCCTGCCAGGGCCATTTAACACACCCTCCTTCTCTTCATCATCAGTGCCAACATCAGCGTCATCGCCACCTCTCTTTACATTTAACTGGAAGGTTCACACCTATATTATCAGCGAAAGGATTCACCCCAGTTGGCCAAAGGTTCAAGTGTTGTTCTACATTGCTGGGAGGGACTGGGATGATTACAGCGCCATCCACAAGCTGCCCTGCGTCAGGATGTTCGCCTTCCATGAGACTCAAGAGGTGCGGGGGACATGCAGGCTAAAAGGTGAACTGGGAATATGTGTTGCCGAGCTGGAGCCCCTTGCCAGCTGGTTCAGCCCACCCACCATCAGGCCAGGAAGGCAGAGGGTCTCTGAGCAGGCCCAGGGCACTCCTGTGGAGCTGTACTACATGATTCAAACCACGGACAGTGGAGACTGCAGCTCAGAGGATTCAAGAAAGGACACCTCCGTCCGCACAGACCAGCAGAGGCCGATGGGCTATTTTGCAGGGCACACACCAATGCAGCGCATCGGGAGTGTCAGGCTGTTTCAGCCGCTGTCGGAGCTGAAACTGGACAATAACTTTGTGGTGATGGCACCCTCCAAACCCATCCGACAGAGAGAAACAGTCTCTGCTTTTCTGGCTCTGTCCACGCTTTCTACAGTGCCAATTTTCACCCTCAGGTGAGTCACAGTTCACTCGGCTGCTATATTAATGTTCAGTCATTTTCCAAACTAATCTCAACAGGAATCATTGGACATACAAATGTAGGAAGGCATTGGAAGACTTTTAGAGAAAGCAGCAGTGATAGATAAAACCAATGAGAACAGGCCACAACCAAAAATCTGACAATGCATGACAACATTTACAGTACACCCATCTGTCACTTAGTGCCTCATTTGAGTCACTGAGTATTGTGCTGTGGCATACCACAGGAAGACATTTCTCAAGAAATTCTTAGTCAGTGTTTGTCTGAGTCATATTCTTAAATGAAACATGCAGGGCATAACTAATTTAGTACAATGCCTCTGTGTTTCTAAAATACTGTACTTTATGTAGCTATGTTATGCACTTGCCAAACCCACCTTCTTATTGAAGAGATCACAGACTCTAGGCAACACAGTTATAGTCCGATCATGCATTTACTTTACTATATTGTTGTGGTTTGGAAACATTACTTATAACAGCTTGTTTAATCAAAATAACCTACAGTTGGCAAAATCAGGGATTAATCTCTGGCATTAGAGATTAGGAAATATGTGCATGATTATGTTTTGATTTGCCACACCATACTCCAACACACAGACAGATTTCCATGACACTGTGTTTAGCTTGTCTATTTAGATCATTTATCTACTAATCAGAAAACTATAACATCACAAATGAAAATAAAGGTAAAAAAAAGACAAGGTGGTAAACAAGACTGCCTCATGCACTCAATTACCTGACTTTATTATGTGAAACAGCACTGACAATAAACACTCAAGATCCTTTCCTACTTTGGTTTTGCAGAATGAATTTCAGCTGGCAGACAATCTTTGTGAAATAATATTATTTCAGTGACAAACACAGAGCTTGCCACACACCAAATCTTGGCTCTGAACCAATCTGAAACCTCTTGGTATTTGTTTCAAAGTTTTCTGCAAGCGGAAGCATGAGCTATGTTCAACTTAAGTAAAAAGCTGAAAAGTGAGAGCAAAGTTTGAAGGGAGTTCATTTATGGTTTATGGTATATTTTCTTCTGCTTACAGTGGAAATAGATAACTTTTTTGCTTTAACTTATCATTATGAAGTAAATGTTGATTACACAGTGTAATGGCTGTAGAATAAGGACACCATCGTGTAGACGGGCTACATATAAGCCTCACTTTCACTATGCAGTCTGCCACCGGGCACAATTTCCAGACACATAGACTAAATGAATGAACAAACTTACACTTTTTCTCCACTCTACTTTTGACGGAACCTCTGCTGTAGTTGTTCATGCAAAGCAATAAAGTCACTCAAACTATTTTACCACTATGCAATGCACATCATTACAATAGCATACAATGCATATATATAAAATTATAAAATATTAAATTGTGACAATTTCAATTTACCTCTTCAGTGAACACCCTTCTCTCTTATTTCCAAAGTAGAGCTGATTTCCTTACAGAGCTGGGCTCTGAGGAAAACGGGAAGCGATCGGCTGCCTTTGCAACAGCAGCGCAAACAATAATGCCACTTGGAAACGCTAAGGAGGGTAATTGAAAAGTTTCCACTTTAAGGGAAAATTTTTATGGTTGATTATCATCTTCACAGAATACAGTTTTTTATTTATACTACCATTTCTACCATAAATCTCACTTACATGCAATGATAATCTTCTGGCGGAATAAAACCCCGCAAAACAAGGATTTTCGCAGAGGTTTGTTTTTGTTTATTGTAACCTTCCAGGTCATTTAGTAAAGAAATTACAGCGATATTGTAGTGCTTAAAACCTTCCGAAACTGCATCTTTGACAGTGTGGAGGGGATTGTTTTGACTGGATAACACCTTAATTACGCCTTGGTGCTATTTATGAAGATTGTTTTCATGTACTCCCCTTCAAAATTGCCTGTCTGAGGGAAATTTTTATCTGAGGTAATTCCACACAACAACAACAAAGTAGTTATTGATTCATTGAGCTTTGTCTCATACAAATTACCATTCAAAGTGACTGTAATTGCGCCATGTTGTGTGATGCAAATTAAGGTGTAAGGAATATGCATTTCCACTGGGCTACTTTTATGCCTGAGATCTAAATCATGGCAGATGAAACAGTTAGCAGCCTTAAAGTGGGGCTGTGACAGAGAGCCTTGGCAATTTGTCAACCCTGGGTGAGCAGGAAATCTGCCAAAAAGCCTCATTGCTTTTTCTCTCGCTCCAGTGATGATGAACTCCCATGAAGTATTAGCGCTCGCAGTGTGTGTTTATCACATTTGTCAGCATGTGTGTAAATGGGAACTTTAAAGGCGGTATTTTTCCTTTAGTGCCTTTTTGCACCAGTGTTGCACCCCAATCGTTCAGAAGTTTGTCTTTTTTATGTTTTCCGTTGGGATAGCATGGACTTAAAATTCAACCAAAATACCTCATTAGCAACCAAAAGATTAAACCTCAAAGTGTTTGAAAATCACAGGCTACTTTACAGTACTTGACTACCAGCTTACCAAACTCTGTAAATGAATATCCGAACACTGATGATTAATCTTTCGTCAGCTTTGTTGTGCGTTGCTTTTATCTTACAAGGTTAAACCTGTGGTGCCATTCAATGCCCTTTTTCTCTCAGTTGTTGAACCCCAGGATTATGAAAAAACATTCCTTTAAAATACCCTTTAAGCACTTGATATCCCCACGATGATGGTGCAATTTGAGTTCTGATCACTGGAGGTGGAGGCTGGAGTGTGTGTGCATGGATCCTTGTTCACGGCAGGCGTCTTCAACTTGCTATGTAGGATGCCAAGGCTCTGCTCCGCCCGCTCGCTGTATGTGTTTGCATACTGTCGGCCAATGTTTGCCTATGCACTGTGGGTGTGTTTATGGGCAGCTTACTTTACAAGTCGGTCTGGTGTGTTTCTCCCAGCAGCTAAGGCATCATTAACTATTTATGTTCTCTGGAGTTACTCCCTTCTCCTCCCCATTATCTCCCCACCCTCCTCCCCCTCTCTTACCCATCCTTCTCCTCTCCTCCACCATCCTTGTCTGCTGTAACATGTGAAAAAAGAACATTGAGAATCTTTCTGGACAGCCTTTATTCCTACATGTGCCGCTGTCAGATGGAATCAGTGGATTTTTAAAATTTCTTTTACTCACCCTTTTTTTGTAGAACTAGAAGTCTCTTTAGGAATTTGGAAAAATAACGGGGTGTATAATCCTCTTAATGTATTGTTCACAAACTGATTAGTTGACGTAGGATTACTTGCACTGAGCGCACCTTGAATTTTTCAAGCTTATTATACATTAAGTGCGCAAAAGTGGGACCAGGCATGCCTGTAAATGCCTGCACAGTTAAGATTTTGCTGTTAATTTAACTACCTTTCTCCTCCCCAATGGCAAAGCAAACCAGCACAGCAAGATAAAGGAAAATATGTCTTCTGACTGATTATGTGAATTAGATTTCCAAAGGCTTATAATATTCTAGCTTGTTTGAGAGCACTTAAGAGCACTTTATACAATCAGCACATGTATCATCAGAGTCTGCTGAATCACCCATCCATCTTTTGGGTCACACTGGTTAATAGACGTTAGTCTGATATCTCAGTGTTTGAATCCTGTGCAGAAAGGTCAAAACGATCTGAATGCAAAGCAGTAATTTATTCACCATGCCCCTTGGGCTCTGGTTTGTGTCTAAAACTATTTTGATAAGCGTAAAGCAAGTTTCATGTTTCAATAAATGAATACCACACATATAACCAAAAACATAAAACAGTTTTCCTCATTTTTTCCTGTAAGCTGCCAACTGTCCCTTAAGGATATTAACCTGATGACTGCAGCAAAATGTATAAACACTTTCATCAAACTTTCAATATGGTAAATAAGGTGCATGTCTACATACTGACCGTGAACGTTAGTGTTACATCAGTCGGTTTTCCAAATAGAAAAGTATCATGCAAACATATAAATGGGTTTCCTAAAACACTGAGTCTGTGGAGTGTTTTCCTCCAGCTGTGTCCACTGGACTGTAAATATTGGCATCCTTCTAATATTAAGATAATTCATATATTGTAATGTTTGGCTTGTTGTTTTCTTATTGCCTCATTCCTAACTTTGAGTTAAAAGCCATATACTGTGCAGATCAGGTAACCTTGTTTGCTTTGTTAACTCACTCTGGACCTTCTTAGGAAATCATTAGTGTAAGAGATCCTGACATTATACCCGACATAACATTACTTCATACTCTCTAATAAACTTTATTTATTTACAAGTTCTTTGCAGAAAAAGAAAGTAAAACACACAACACCGGGGGAGACAATAAAGTTTAAGTATGATTTTAAGTAAGAATAATCTAGGTTCCTCATGTAGCAGAATATGGATGATATCTCATGTTATCATACTGATGCCTAGCCAGCTTCTTCAGCTTGGCTGCACACAAAATCAGAACACTTAACCAAGGGGCTATTTTATTGGCCATTTTTTGTCTCTCCGCACTTATTGCGTAATTGACTGAATTTGATCTAATCTAAACTAATCAAATGTAATTATTTTGGATGTAATTGCATGCTTTTATTCCCAGCTGCTGGGAAAACACACGGACGTTTGTGCACACACATGAATATGCGCATAAACACTCATACTTGTAGACATACGGACAATCGCACACATACATGCGTGGACGTGCTCTGTGCCAACCGTAAAGTCACGGTGTGTTTGTCATGCTAAGGGCTCCCAGTGGAATCAGTAATTCCCTGCTCCCTGCCTCATTAGCCATGGAGAGAGTGGTGTAACAGGTTGGAAAAGGGTTCTCTAGCTACTCCTTATTCCACATGCAAATGAAAACACCATTTCCTCCTGAACAAATTAACAGGCTTTTCAAAAGATAAATTGCCCCAGCTGTATTGTAATTTTGACTAAACAATCCGACATATTTCCACAGATCCCCCCCGGGGGCAGTGGTTGCTGATGAATGCAAATGAATTTCTAATATGTGAGAGTGTGAAGGTAT